GCTGCAGAACAGGAACCTGCTGTAAAACAGCAATTATGCTGAGTCAGGCTTGATTTTTAGTAATCTTTTCCTGTTGAATCAATAAATCAAATCAAATCAAATACACTGAAGACAGAGAGAAATGGTGATATAAAGTGTGGTAATGCAAGGATCTATCTGAGGACCACCTAACCCCAAGGCTTCACAGGGTCCTGCTCATCAKCAGTGATGCAAACATCAAAACAAGACACAGGTTTGTCTTCAACCAGCTTAGTCCACCATTAAGACAGTGACTGAGTATTACGAAAGTATATCACTTAAAATTCAGTCATAAAAAGATACCTGAACTTTAAGACTTAATTAGATTCAATAAACGTTCATTTTCACAGCGCACGTAAATCAATTTTACTTTGAAATGCTATTAAAAATTCAAGTTCCCTTTTGGCAAAATCCCTAAATGCTTTCAGCTCATTTTCCCAAAAATTACAGGGCAACTTCTGTATGTGCCTAATTAAGTGATTAAAAAGTAATAAAGAGCCTAAATGAAAAAGCCCATCACAAAATGATGTCTAAATACCTCTAAGATTAACCCACCTCGTTGTTTCTAAAGTTTCAGCAACTTCATTAAAGTTAGATAATAAATTTTAATAAACGCTTACACAGAAAAGGTTGCTATTATTAATTAATCCTGACCGTCTGTGCAAAAGTTTTGCGTAACCATGTTTTTAAGGCAAAAATTTTTAACTGATTTTTAAAGTGGTCTTGTTTAATAGCACCTAAAACTTTCTGAAGGCCTTTAAATTGTAGATGCATTTTTTTTTTACTCATTCTTAGTTCTGCATCTGATCATTTCAGTGAAATGTTTTCTTTGTTTGTTGAACCACTTAACTCTGACCTATGACTCATTCAGGAGTGAAATGAATCAATCAGTGTTGTATCTACTCATAATAAACAACACGGCTCTTAAATTGGATCTTTAGGCTCTGTGTTGCCGGCAGCCCTTCACAAAAAACACAATTTATTCCTATTTCTTTAGCCGAGTCTATGAAATATACCCAAGATAACACTATCTGACAGACAGAAAATAGCATTTTAGCCGAAAAGTTGTCATACAGCAAATGATCAATAGAATGATGATTCATCTCTCAGGTGTTGTGTCAGTTTATCCAATATGTTTTGAATATGCTTTTCATAAGCTGGAGATAGTTTTATTTATGTCCTCCACCTGTCTGATTGCCTCAATTTTTTGTGCTGCCATAGTCAAATACAAGGACTGGACTGAAAATGAGGAACAAATAAAAAAGGTCAGAGTTTAAAGAAAAAGCCTAAAGAGATTTTTAACAAAAACACAGACGCTCAGAAGGTCTCAAAGCTTCCCAGGAACATTACAACCCTCTAGTGTGCCTTAGGGTGGGGAATCAACTCTCTTCAAATCCATTATAAATACATTTCTCTGATCCTACATTTATCATGTTGCATGCAGTCCTTAATATACTTTACCTCTACACYTTTGATTTTTTGTATTTACTCACTTGGCTTCACTTTCACATTTGAGATTTGCTGTAAAAACTGCAGATATACAGCTTTCCCAGGAGAGACACGCTTTTCTCTGCTGTGGAGCTGCTTTTATCTCCTCCGACAAATCTGTTTTATTTTAAACATAAAATGACAAAAACACATTGTGCATAAGTAATCATTTWGTACAAAAATGTTTTTACCTGCATTCAGGCTTGAATCAGAAGTTCCACAGCTGACAACTACAAATAAGAGGATGTTTCAAAAAAAAAATGAGAAAAAAATATTTAACTTTTAGTTTTGTTAAGCAGCTATATTTGGTAATCAATTCTCCCCCTATACTTTGTTATAAAGTTAAAAGACTTGCATGAAAGTCTCCTCTGAAGCAAAACACAAGACACAAAGAAAACCTTTATTCCTAAATACATAATTTTTTTTATCCAGGTATAATTTATATATTTTTCAACCATAAAGTCTTTATGGTAGGATTAATAAACATATTTGCTTTTATTTTCATAGTTATAATTACGTTTTTTAAAAGAAAGGTCTAATTTTTGTTTTGTTTGTGTTAGCTACATGCTAACTCACCTTTCGACGACTTTTGAACTTAATTAGCATGTTGCTCCAATTACTTTGTTTAACTTCCGTTTTATCTTCATCTGTAAAAACTAATAATTTGGCAAATATACTGTCATAAATAAATAAATAAACAAATAAATTCAAAAACGTAAGGAATTTTGTCGGCGAAACACCGTCCACCTAGTTTTTTTGAAACAAGAAAGCTCACAGGCCAACCGGAAATTAGTCGCTCCTAATTCTGCCATGTCAAAATAAAAGCTTGAAAAGGTGAAACGGCAAATGAAAAGTCAACAAAAGTAGATGAACAAAACAAATGTTTCAGCATTTATAGCCAAACCAAAGCTATTTATTCAGTCAAAGTTCCCAAGCATTATTTTCTTTATTTGAATTTAAAATCTAAAATCTTTTACTTTTATATAAATTTACAAAGGAAAGTATTGGATCTAAAATACAGAGAACATAAATGTAACACGTTTATGTGAATCTAAAACAGCCCTGAAATGTCATTAAATAATTGCACGTTTATTCACATTAAATACATTTTAACTGGCTATATTTTATGTTTGGTTTACTTGAGGGCAATTGCTATTACCTTGAACTTTCAGCTGAAGTTCAGCTGCTTGCAAAAACACCAAAGCCCTAATTAAAAGTAAAGAAGTTAAAAGATAAAGTACTTTATCTTTTTGCCAAACACACTCCCACACACATTGTCTGACGATCACACAGCTCTTTTTTTCTTCCCAAATCAAATTTACTATGGTCTCAGACAGCTGCGGGGTTTGCTGGTTTCTTAACAACTTAATTAAGCAAATCTTCKATTTTTCCACTGAGGTAATGAGCATAATTTTACAGGGATTAAACAATCTCTAGGGTTGGGGGTAAGAAAAAAATAGGAGYCTTTATGCTTTTGCAATCTTATCTGCTTTCATCCGACCCAAGAACTTTCCATCCCCTGGATTAATAGATCTAGATTTCAAGCTTTTATTTATCCCTACCTTTTTAATTTGAATAAAGTTAGATTTAGAAGTTTCTGTATCTGAGTAACGAGCATAAAAACAACTTGGACAAATATGGATATTGACCACTGCTTTCATTTGGCAAAAAGCAAAAATCAGATGATTTATTTGAATTTTAAAGTCATGTTTGTAGCAAAATATAAATATTGAGTCATTTTGGGGTTTTGAATCTTATTAAAATCAGGACTTGTCATAAAATGATTTGTGTCAGATGGATTGTTTTGCTMTATTTCCTGGATTTACATCAGATATTTTTAAAAAAACTTCATTATATAGCAGTGCATTTTATTTTTGGCCTCACTTCTGGTTTAATACGCGTGAATAAAACCAGAGTATTAATTACACTTTTCAGACTTTTTCTAATGAATTATGAAACCTAATTAGGTCTTTGTAGATAATTAGGAAGCATAAATGCCAGATTTGTCCAGACAGCTGATTATTAGATTACCTAAAGCAGGACTCGATTGAAGTAAAAGGGCAAATTATTCACGTGTGTGAGCAATAATCAGGTCTTTTGTGAAAGTCTTAATTGGTAAAAAACAGACAAACAGATAACTCGTCAAAAATTTACCACAAACCAAAATCTGGGACCTTGAAAAATAAATTCAGTGTTTTTATAGAAGTAGCCATTTGAATGTTTTTGTCCAAACTCTATTTTTACTCCTGTACACAGACCATTACGCTGAAGTGCAGATTTCCTGTTGTTTGTGTTTTYTTATTCGACATAATTCCCCTGAGAGACGTTTCTCTTGCTTTCCTGCAAAAACTGGTGCTTCTCAGCATTTTGCTGAAACGTTTTCAAGATTTGTGGCYCTGCGACAATCCAAACGAGGTTTAAGTTGCTCCCCCTGAACAGAACATCGGAGTGATTTTTTAGTAACGAGGGGGAAAAAACATTTACACTGAACATCAGCAGAAAAACWAAACAGCTGCATAAATTTCTCAACACTTAAGGCTGAACTAAATTATTTTTAAAGACTTGGTTCTTCATCCCAATTAGTGCCTTTTGAACATAAACCAGGACACTTGTGCAGCTGCAGCWTTCTTAAAATAAAAAAAGGCTGAAGATTAACCTGAATCTGTTACAGTCAGGCTGAGGTGTTGGAGGAGTCGGAGTCTGAAGAGGAAATCCTGTTGGGAAAACCTCCACGAGAGCACGTTAGTTACAGTGTGAGGTAAACACCTCTATCAGCAAACAGACACACGACTCGCTCAGCTGCTGCAAACAAACAGAGCTGATCTGCTTTTTGCAGGAAGGGACTGCGTCTGGAAACGGAGGACAAAAACACAGCAGGAAGCCTCGCCTTGCTTTAATGTTGCATAATTTACAAATCAGTTCTGTGCAGATCACGTTCAGAGCAGCAAATTCAACAAACAGAAACATTCTCAACAAACTAAATGTATCACAGCTGAATACTTTCTAACAAAGTGTACTTTAACATATATTGTGCATGTTTTATACAGGTTTATGTAAAGGTGATGTCAGAGGCTGTAGGAGTCCTCAGGTAACTCTCCCAGCAGCTCGTCCAGGTTATCTGCAACACAGACATGAYACTTTATATATTTTTATCCTTATTGCATCTTTTTAACATTTATCTATAATTCTAATGGAGAACCGAAACTGACATAATTAAAATAAGAGCGGAAATATATAAAGTAAATACTCTTAAAATGCACCAATTAAATAACAAAATCTTTACGTCTTATTTTATAATTTAATTGACTTCATATTTACTTTTCCAGCTTAGTTC